AAAAAAAAAAAAAAAAAAACAAAGCTCCAGCTGGAAGAGAAATATCTTCATCCCCCTGTCATCTAGGAACACTTCCAGTCTCACAGGAGCATCAAAATAAACAGAGCAGGAAATTCCAGCTTTCCAAGAGTGAGAGTCCCCTCCCACAGCCACAGCCAAGCAATGCAGGGAGCAGTTGCTCCCAAGATGTGCTATCAGAACTCAGGTGACCTTCTTGAGCAACCTGAGCTGCCACCAAGGCTGCTCTTGTGCCTGAGCAGTCCCCAAGCTCTCTGTCCCCACTCTCCTCCAAGGAAAAGGGCTCCTCCACCACTGGGACTCAGTGACATGAACCCCAGGAGGGAGTAAAGAGCCGACTCTCAGCTGAGTCCCTGCCTAAAAACACCTCGGGGGGTCCCATCCCTATCACCTGTGAGTATAAGGGGTGCAAATCCACTCATCTTTTATTTTTATGTGTGATCCAGTCACTCACAAGCCAGACCCCACAGCTCCAAAATTAAATTGGAGTTTGGAGGTTATGGTCTGTCTGTAGAGTTCCTGCTCTTCTCATCCAGAGACAGCTGGCATCCTCAGAATATCAAAGGACAAATATTCCCAGCTTTCCTCTGTGCTGGCAGACACTGGAGTGCACACAGGAATTACACTCCTAGTAATGACTGAAGTCAAGGGTGGCTTTTTTTGTAACAACCCCAGAGCTCTCAGCCATGTGCAGACCAGGCAGGAGGTGGGGTACCTGGGACATCCATGATGTTTAGCAGTGCCCAAGGTCAGGCAAGGCTGGGAAGGGCTGGAAAATTAACAATTTGATTTCTTTTATTGTTCACTGATTTATTTCTGCCTCTGCTTTCCACCTGTGAGGAGAGTGAGTCCAAGCTGGGAGAACTGGGCTCTGTTCCTGCTCCTTCCCAGGTTTCCCCGTGACCTGAAGGGAGACTTGGAGCATTTCTGTGTGTCCAAATGGCCCTGTGAAGTGCCCTCGTGGTTCCTGATGCCCCCAGCCTTGGGCCTTACTGTGCTGGTGGAATCAGCAGAGATCCTGATGCTCCAATACAACAGCTCAGCTTAAATTCAGGCTCAGCTTTACAGAGCCAGCAGGGACTGGTGCTTGAGCTGCAGGGGAGCCCCTTTCTCTGTGCTGGGGGTCCCTGCCTGCACAGCCCATGGGTTTGCTTCAGAGCAGGGGCCAAAATGCCAGGAAAGGACACAAAAATCAGAAAGTTTTAGCTCAAATATAAGAGCAACCTATAACCTATGATCCAAGCAGGAGAATATTTTAGTGTGTGACACAGAGAAACATCCTCTGGAGTGCAGCACATACGATGATCTCAGTGACACAGGTGGGGGCTCTGAGGGCTTGGTTTCACTCCCAGCGTGGAGCTCTGGATGTAGGGAAGGTTTAGCTTGTTTGGGACACACAACCTCAATTTTTATAGTAACTTGAGTAAACAGAAATGACACTGTGTGAGTTGGCTGTGAGGGCTTGGAGGAAGCACAGCCCTCCCCTGGTTACTCACTCCTGCCTCTGCTGGGCTCAGCTCCTCACTCACTCATCCTGTTCTGCGTGTTCTGTGTCACATCTCTCTGTTAATCGTCCGTCCAGCACCACTCCCCAGCTCGGCCCCGAGCTGTCCCCAACTCGCCCACTCCCGTCTCAGCCTCCCCTCCCTGCAATCAGGACGACACAAAGCTGGTCCCTGTCTGCCTCTGTTCTCAAATCTGGTACAAAAGTTGAAAGAGGACTCCGGGACACTTAAGAGGGGAAAAAAAAAAAAAAAAGAGAGAGACATCAGCCTGATCCGGCTTTATTCTCAGCTTTATCCTCCTCCATCACAGAGGAAAACATCCAGCCCGAGTGAGGACGGGGGGCTCTCCGGGAGCGCCGCAGCCGGCAGGGCTGGGGTTGGCCGGAGGTACCAAACTTTCGTCCCTGTTTCCCCCGCCCCGTTCCCCCTTCCCTCCCCGCCCTGCCCGGCAGCTCGGCTCTCTCCCAGCCCCGGGGCTCGCAGCCTGTTCGCCTCCGGGGTGGGTAAAAGCGGGGCAGAGCGAGCGGGGATGCAGGGGGAGCATCCTCCGGGGAGCCCGCGGGGGCCCGGCCGGGGCAGGGCGGGGCAGGGCGGGGCAGGGCAGATAAAAGGCTCCGCGTGTGGCAGCACCGCCTCCCAGCCCGGACAGCCCCGGAGCTGCAGGTCCCGGGCGAGCAGAGCCGGAGAGGGGCCAGTGCCGGCGGGGCGGCGGCAGCGCCCGGACCGGGGTAAGGACGGGGGGGGTCCCGGGCTGTCGGGGAACCCCTGCCCTGTGCCGTGCTGGGGATGGGGTCTGGTCCCCCCGCGTGTCCTGGTCCTCGAGGGAGAGGGGTTGTTGGGGGGGCAGGGGCGCTTTGGTACCGGGAGGGCTGAGCCCGTGGTTTTGGCCATTTGCTGCTAAAGGGGGGCTCGGGAGAGCGCCGTGCTCAGGGGAGGGGGACAAGGCTCCGGGTTGGGCTGTTTTGCTCGCGGTTTGGGGTTTGGGGTTTGGTTGGTTGGTTGGTTGTATTCCCCTCTCCGGGGTTTCCATGACTGTGCTGGGGAGGACCCCGAGGTGGGTGGTGGGGATGAACCCAGGGGTGTTGCTGCCCTCCTGACGCTCTCCCCTGTGTCCAGCAGGATGGTTCCCATCGCTCTGGAGGTGACCTGCAGCTTCCTCACCTGGCTGTGTCTGTACCTCTGCCTCTGCCGCTGGAACAAGCACCGCTCCCACGAGTGGAGCTGCCGCCTGGTCACCCTCCTGCACGGGCTCATTGTCACCTGCCTCTCGGGTTACACCGCCCTCCTGGCCGGCCCCTGGCCTCTGACCCACGCAGGTGTGTTTGGAGCCTCACCCACGTCCTTTGTCATGCCCTGTGCTCACCTGTGCTTCTGTCACAGGTGGAAGAAGGGGGTTTGCCCTCCCTCTTTTGCTTTTGCTCTCCTCATATGGGTGGTTTTGGGGTGTTTGGGGGAGGATTTTGTTGAATTCCCCTGCCTTTATCACTTCTTACTATTCATCTTTTTGTTCTTTTTTTTTTCTTTTTTTTTTTTATTTTGATTTATTTGGTTTACATTAAAAGTGTTCAGCTTGGCAGCTTGAGTTTATTGCAGCATCAGATGTAGCAATGTTGAGAACAGACTAAGTGCTTTCACATCTTTAAGGGTGTAATAACTCCTGACATTTGTCTCTGCAGTGTTTTGTTTGATGTTTTCTATCATTAAATCTCAAATAGTTCTGCTGCTGGAAGTCTGACTTTCCATCCCTGCTTTTTAAAAGGCTTGTGAGAGAAAAAGAAAAAAGCAGCAGTGTGGCAGGACGGGGTGTGAAGGGAAAGCAGGACCAGACATCCCAGCTTCCAGCCTGGCACGTGGCCCATGGGATAAGGCTGGAAACCGAGGAGGAAAGAGGCAACTCACAACCTGTACTGCTCCATATTGTAGAAGAACACCCTTAAAAAGGCTTATCTCACGTACATCTTTCATTTCAGGTTCACCAAACACACCTCTCCAGACCCACGTGCTGTCCCTGACCTTGGGCTACTTCATCTTCGACCTGGGCTGGTGCCTGTATTTCCAGACAGAGGGGGGCCTGATGCTGTTCCACCACACCCTGAGCATCTGTGGCATGGCCCTGGTGCTGGGGCTGGGCAAATCTGCCACAGAGGTCAACGCTGTCGTGTTTGTCAGCGAGATCACCAACCCCCTGCTCCAGACCCGCTGGTTCCTGCGGGAGACGGGCCGGTACCGCACCTTCCTGGGAGAGCTGGTGGACTCCCTCTTCGTGCTCCTCTTCCTGGCACTGAGGATCGTGGGGGGAGCCTGGATCATGGGTGCCATGGTGATGTCCCCTCGCCCCAGCTGGCTCCTCAAGGCTGGGGGCCTGGCCATGTACGTGGTGTCCCTGGGGTTCCTGGTTGAAATCTGCCGCTTCGTCAGGAGGAAGATGGTGAAGAAACACCTTCCCTGGACGCGCCTGAGGAGGGGGAATGAACCTGTGAGAATGAATGGACACGTGGCTGCTCATTGATGGGCTGTGGAGGACAATCCCCCGGCCTTGGGGCCTGGCTGCTGGAGCTTATTCCTGCAAAAAGAGCTGCTAAAATGACTCTCTGGCACTGGTTTGCTACCCCTGGAAGGAGACGGGTCAGCGTGAGGAACGTGGAAAAGCTGGGAAAAGAGGGATTTGAGTGGAAATCCGAGGAGCCTGTCGCTGATTCCCTGACTTGTGCAGCAATGGTACAGTCTCAAGGAGGGTGGCAATGCCAGACCTGCTCAGTCTGCAGCCAGTAATGGCACAGTCTGTGTGCTCTGTCATCGTTTCTGAGGTAGAATTATTTTACAGCGCAGAGAAAATCAAACATGGAAAATCCAACCTTCCTGCCAGTGGGGCTGGGTAGGGGTGTGACCTGGCAAAGATTTGCTGAGCCTCACTCTCTGTAATCCTGGATTTGGACAATGTGCTTTCCTAAGTACTCAATGAAAGCCTCAGAACCAGACTGAAGTGCTTTCAGGGGTGTAGGAGAGTTGTCCTTTGCGTGTGTGGAATGATGGTACTTGAGGTGAGGCAATGTTTTACCTCCTTGTTTTTAATGATACATTTCCTTTTTTTTTTTTTTAATACTGGCATTCAAGCAGATACTGATCTTAGAGCAGTGTGACTTCACTGGGACTGGCTCAAGCCCTTGCAAACAAGAGTCAGGAATTAGACTCGTGCCAATAAACTCCATAAGCAGGTGTTCTCCTGGCCTTGGATTGCTTAAAAAAGATAATCAGGTTTTTTGTGGGTGAGAGAGGATAGAGAAGAGCCCCCCTGGATGCTCTTTCTGTCCTGGGGTTGGATCATGTACAAGCCGCTAAAGCTGAATTCATGGCTAATGAGTCAAATGCGTGACTATTTTCAGGGGTGACAGTCATGACAAGACAGGTCTCAGTGTAACATCTGCTGCACACCAGCAGGCCTTGGAGCATGGACTAGTTCTCTTGTTTTCTTTACCTCTCAGAGTCGTGTTCTGACATTTTCCCCTGGGGTTTTAATGTGAATTTCCCTCTGTCTAAGGCTGCAGTTGAGATTTACTCTCCTATAAAAGCCCCGCTTGGAGCTGAGAAACAAAGGGCCTTGTGTTGCTTGCAGGCTTAGCAGGGCTGGTTGCTGCTTTCCAAGATTTTAGGGGAGGTTCTTCATGGAGCTGAAGAGCCCCTGGAACTGCCTGTGTGGGTGTTGCTGGAGCGAGGTGTCAGTCCTGCTGCAGAGGAAAGCAGTGGGAAGGAAGGGAGCTCCTCCATGCCTCTTATCTCACTAATTTTGGTGTTTTTCAGGGCAGATATCAGCCTTGGCTGGGGGTTAGAATAAGGTGTTTGGAGAGATTAAAAAAAATGACCTGAAATAACCTCACTTTTGACAAGTCCACTGAAAGCACTGCAGCTGTGAATCCAGGCAAGTTACTGTTTAGGAAAGCAGGAGCTTTGTCCTCCAGCTGGGCTGGCTCTGGGGACCTGAAGTATGGACCCTGTGCTCTTCCAAAAACTCCTGTGAGTCATGAGACTTCTAATAAAATTATGTTCTCTTTTTTAAAAGAAATGGTTGCTGTAATGTTCTTTTTTCTGGGTCTTAAGGAAGCAACTGAAGTTAAGGAAGTGAGGCAAACAGGCTGGAGGGAACTTAAACCACCACTGGTTTGTGCAGCTCAGGAAGGAGTGAGCTGGTGAGGAGACAAGCTCAGACTGAGCCATGTGCTCTGCAGGTCAGGCTCGGGGTGTGAGGGGCAGCTGAAGCTCAGATTTGTGACTAATGGACCCATAACCAATGAGTCAGTACTGCAGGGAACTTAAGAACGGGCCACTGAATTGAGGGGTTTGCTCCTGATGGACACAAGGTCATGGGGTAACTTAAATTCTGGCCATGGTTGCCTTTTTTTCTTCTCTGCAGCACCAATGCCTCACTGCTGGGTTTCATCCTGGCAGTGACTATTTTGGAAGGCTCGGGTTGCAGGGTGTTTTGGCTACATTACCTTTGGAGAAGCAGTTGAAAGTGTGAGAATACCCTTGGTGCCATGAGATGTCCCAGGTCACTGCTGAGTGGCTGTTTCCAGCTGGGAACCTGCAACTGGTGTCTGGAGTGGAGGTGAGCCTGGGCTTGGCTTCCAACAAGGAAATGCTTTTCCTTCAGCTGTGGGACAGTAGCCCAGTGCACCCACCTTGCTTGCAAGCAACCAAAACTGATGGCAGCCATCCTGGGACTTGAAGCAAAGTAAGTGCCCTCAGGTGGTCATGGACCACTTCTCATCTAAGGACAGTTTTAATTTGAAATTCTCTGATGTGATGCTAGAAAACCATTTAGCTCCACTCTCGGTATCCCATTGGATTTGTGTACTTGCATTTTAAAGAATGTGATTCTTAATACAGGTGCCTGGCTTTTGTCTGTCAAATATCCTTGACAGATAAATGTCCTTTTGGTTTTACAGTCACAAAAAGCGAGCCTTGGTCGTGGCCTGTCACTGGGTGTTTGGAGTTCTTGTGTATTCCCAGTTTTCTGTGGACAAGGAGTTTCCCAGAGCTGTAAGCTAACACACTGTGACCCTCCAGCTCTGGTTAGAACAGGTACAGAAGGCAAGAGGAAAGAATGTGCTGCTGGGGGAGGGTGGAACTGCACTAAATGGGGCAGCAGAGTGCAGACAACGGCTTGCAGAGGTGTCCTGCCCTGAGCTGTTTTGCTGAACTCTGTTCATCTGCAGGCAAAACGAGCCAGTGCAACACAGCCCATTGAAATGGCTGAGTCTGCACAAAGCAAACAGGAAAATTAGTGTATAAGCTGCACCTCACTTCTGGTACAATCCACTGGGGGGTGGTTTAACTCGCCACTTTGTACCTCACGATGCAAATTTTGCACATTGTACGACCTAGAAAATAAAAATGCACAGTTTCTCTGTATTTCTACCTCCTGCATTAAATCCGTAAGTCTGTGCCTTGTGTGAACATGTCTATTTTTCTTCCTGGCTGCTCAGTCAACATCCACAGAATCACAGAATGGTTTGGGTTAGAAGAGACCTTAAAGATCATCTTGTTCCACCCCCTGCCATGGGCAGGGACACCTTCCACCAGCCCAGGTTGGTCCAAACCCCGTCCAACCTGGCCTTGGACACTTCCAGGGATGGAGCAGCCACAGCTTCTCTGGGCAACCTGTGCCAGGGAAGAATTTTTTTCCTGATATCTAAACCTGCTCCCTTTCAGTTTGGAAACATCAGCCAGGAGCCAGTGTGTTGGTTGGAGGAGGTGTCCTGCATTTTGCTGCTCTGTGGATGTGGAAGGCAGGCCAGAGAATGGTGAGCACTGAATGGGAACAGTGAGAAGAAATTGCTGGGCTTTGTAACTGCTGCCTAAGCAGGGGATGGAGGGGATGTTGGGGCCGGGCTCTGTGCTCTCCCAGCCTGCTGAAGCTGCACTGCTGGTGATAAACCCTGCAGGGCATGGAACCTTGAACCTGGTGCGACACAGCTTTGGGAGTTCAGGAGAAGAGCCTGTTCCCAGCAGGTGCTGCCTGGGTGTGAGTAAAGCAAACCCCCGGTGTGCTTTGTGTGAAGATAACCCCCGGGGTTATCTCTGCCACACACCAGGTGATTGGAGTGGGTGGGAGGGTAGGTGGGACCGATTCCCTGTGCCCACAGGCTTTGTGTGCACCCTGTGGGAACACGACCTTGTTCTGGGAGCAGGGATACGAGGATGGTGAAGGCTCTAGGGTCCTATTCCCATCCTGCTGTCTCTCCTCCAGCCCTGTCATCCCTCCTCCAACCCTGCCATCCATATTCCCGTCCGGCCATCCCAATTCCAGCCTTGCCATTCTTATTCCATCCCTGTCATCCCTTCTCCAGCCCTGCTATCCCCATTCCATCACTGCCATCCCGATTCCCGTCCTGCCATCCCCATTCCATCCCTCCTCCAGCTTTGCCATCCCTATTCCAGCCCTGCCATCCGTATTCTCGTCCAGCGGTCCCCATTCCAGCCCTGCCGTCCCTCCTGCAGCCCTGTTATCCCCATTCCATCGCTGCCATCCCGATTCCTGTCCTGCCATCCCCATTCCATCCCTTCCATCCCTGCCATCCCTCCTCCAGCCTTGCCATCCCTATTCCAGCCCTGCCGTCCGTATTCTCGTCCAGCGGTCCCCAATCCAGCCCTGCCATCCCTTCTCCAGCCCTGCCGTCCCCATTCCATCGCTGCCATCCCGATTCCCGCCCTGCCATTCCCGCTCCATCCCTTCCATCCCTGCGGTCCCTCCTCCCCGCCGCCAGGTGCCCCTCGGCCGCCGCTTCCTCTGCCGGCGCGGCGGGGGCGGCCGCGGCTCCGCGGCCCTGCCGGTGGGTGTGCGGGGAAGGGAAGGCTCCGGACCCTGTTCCCGGACCTTTCGGGAGCCGGGAGGAGCCGAGCCAGGCCGGGAGGAGCCGGGCAAGGGAATAAGGTGGGGCGGGAGCCCGCGGGGATGCGCGCGGGGATGGGGGGGCGGCTGCATCCCGCGGGAAAGGGCAGGATGCGGGATTGGGGCCGGCGCTGGGCTCTGCCCCTGGGATGCGGTTCGATCTCTCTGTGTTGCGGTCTCTGGCCTCCTCCATTTTATTACTTGTACTACAAAAAAAAAAAAAAAAAAAAAAGGCAATGAGGAAATAACGGTGCTTTGCGGGAGGTGCCCATCTGGTTTTCCCGTCTGATTTTTAAGCTCTTCCGGGCTGTTCTGCACCGGGTTTTTAGGCGGGTGTTTATTGTAGAGCCTGCTTTCATTCGGGGCCACGTTGCTACTGGTGATACAAATAATATAATATATATGACATAGAATAATATACATAATAATACATATAATTATATACGTAATATATATAATAATATAATACAGATATCTAAAGATATATATATTTTAGATCTATTATTGTATTTAGATATTGTGTTGTATTTAGATAATATATTATTTTTGTATGTGATATATTTCTATATATCTATATTTATTTTATATATTTTTATATATAATTATTTATTATTATTATTTTATAATTATTGGTGGGTTTTAAATGATATTGGCCTGTCTGGCATCCAGGCACAGACATAATGCACAGGTGCAATATGTATTATATGTGCTAAGGACAAATAACAGAATGGTTTGGGTTGGAAGGAATCTTAAAAATCATCTCATTCCTGCCATGGGCAGGGACACCTTCCACTAGCCCAGGTTGCTCCAAGCCCTGTCCAGCCTGGCCTTGGACACTTCCAGGGATGGGGCAGCCACAGCTTCTCTGGGCAACCTGTGCCAGGGCCTCCCCACCCTCCCAGGGAAGAATTTCTCCCGAATATCCAATCTAATCCTGCTCTCTGTCAGTTTAAAGCCATTAACTGTTGAGCTTTGATGTGCAGTTGGACGACAGCCTCTTCTTTCCTTCCAGGCCATGGAGAAGTATCTTTTTCGTGAGTAGGTGTGGAGAACACCTCAAAATGTTTAAAAGCTTGTTCCTCTTCCTTTTACCAGCCTTCTCCAGCTGGTCAGTCCCTTTTGTCACGTCAGAATTCTTCCTTCCCTATGTGCCCTGACTCTGGGCCTCACGTCCCAGGGATGTGCATGGAAACTCCTGGTCAGAGCAGTTAATCACATCCTTATTTCATCTCCCATGTTCCCAAGGCCCATTAAAACATAATGGTTTTGTTTACCCAGCCTCCAGTCATTCCTGGGAATACCTCAACAGGCCAAACAGGAAGGCTGGGCTGTGCAGCTCTGACTCCTCATCACGTGAAGTCTCTTTGGTGTGAGTTTGGGTGTGAGGCCAGAGTTGGGCAGCAGGTACCACTGGTGCTTCTGCTGTTGCACAACTGGAAACTCCTGTATCCCAAAGCGTGACTCAACTGCTTCTGATGCACTTCCCTGAGTGCTCAGGAGTGATGAGACATATCTTGTATTTCACAGAAAGGTGTTATAAATATGAATGAGGTGTAGATATTTGATTATTAAATAATTGGGGGGCTTTTAGCACCAAGAGCAGCACCCACGGTTGTCTGTGCACTGTAATTTTGTTCTGGCAGTGTGTTTTTTGCTCGTTTGAGAGATTCTGTCTTGCACAGTGAGTGAGGGAAGACATGTAAAAGAAATACCACTGGAAAAATAATCTTTATGGGCATAGATTCTTATTCTTCTGCATCAAAAAGATTTGGGGGTCTTGGTGCCATTAAAGACCAAATGAAGTCTGCAGTGAGGAGAGTAAAGTGGTTTTCACCTTGTCCTGATACTTACAGACCTTGTGGTCCCCCTTCTGTGTGTTTCTGATCCGTTCTGTGTCCCTGTCCCCCTGACAGGATGCTGTTCCCCCTGCCCCTGAGGGTGGCCTGCAGTCTGCTGGGCTGGTTCTCCCTCTACAAGTGGTTCTGCCACCGCTACAGGCACAGGAATTCCGAGTGGAGCTGCAGGCTGGTCACCCTGACCCATGGCATCCTTGCCACCTGTCTCTCTGCTTACATTGGCTTTATCGATGGGCCCTGGCCTTTGAGTCACCCAGGTGAGTGATGCCAGCTGTGGTCCCAGCTCCCTGCGTGGGTGGTGGCACTGAGGGGCTCTCCCACCACCTCGGCCCGCTCGAGGAGTGGTGACTGCAGTGGTCTCTGAGCTGCTTTGTGATGGGAAGCTCTAGAGAAATGGGGAGCCTGGCACTGCATTTCCTCGTGTGCTGGCCCTCCCCAGCTGCAGTTTGGTCACGCCGTGTGGCCATGACGTGTGTGCAGCTGCCGGACTGACAACCGTGGCATTGTGACTTGGGGGGGACTTCTCTGGCCGGGCTGTGACCAGCACAAGCCGACACCCCTTCCTTGTCTCAGCTCCTGCTCGCTGCCTTAAAGTTCTTTATGTCTCCACGTTTCAGGATCACCCAACACGACCCTCCAGGTGCACGGGCTGTGCCTTAGCTTGGGCTACTTCCTCTTCGACCTGTGCTGGTGCGTGTACTTCCAGACGGAGGGTGCCCTGATGCTGGCCCACCACCTAGTGAGCATCGTGGGCATCGCAGCCTCGCTGGCCCTGGGCGAGTCGGCGGCGGACGTCAACGCCGTGATCTTCGGCAGCGAGATCACCAACCCCCTGCTGCAGGCCCGCTGGTTCCTCAAGGAGACGGGCTCCTACCACACCCTCACGGGCGACGTGGTGGATTTCCTCTTCGTGGTCCTGTTCACCGGCGTGCGGATCGGGATGGGGGCCTGGCTGATGTTCTGCGAGCTGGCCTCCCCCCGGCCCCGCTGGTACATCAAGCTGGGGGGGGTCATCATGTACGCCGTGTCCTGGGTGTTCATGCTCAGCATCTGCCGCTTCGCCAGGAGGAAGAGCATGAGGAAGTACCAGGCGTGGAGGAGCCGCCGGAGCGGCGCCTGGTGCCCGAAAACCAACGGGCACCTGAAAACCCACTGAGGGGGGTGCTGAGGAGAGAATTCCTCGAGTTCACGCTGCCTGGCAGGGAGGGGGGGATCGTGCCTGGAATCGGGAGAGGAGCCAGCTCACGTTAGCGGTTCTGGAGCCAAGTTTATCCCTGGCTCGGCTCCACTGCCGTCCGTGGAGCTGTGCCATGGATTCATGGGGGCTGCAGTGTTTGGCCTGGCAGGGGCTGGGTGAGCACACGCTGGATGGCACGAGGGAAAGAAGGGCTAATTTTATATACTGACCATTGACTAGTCCAGCAGTGCAGGTGTAAATAGTGGTGTGAGTAGAAAACCTTCAGCACCGGTAGAACCTTGGAGAAGAGAGGAGGAGATAACACTGGGTCTTCATGTTCAGTGTCCTGTACAGTGTAGGCAGCTAAGAGTGTTCCTACTGGTAGTGTTGCCCGTAACCAGAAGAAACACAAACCAACAGAGTGCCGGTTTATGCGGTGCTTTATTCGGGGCCCCGGGAACCTGAGGACTAGCGTCCAAAGTCAGGATTCCGAAGACCCTCATTTTCAGTTCAGCTTTTATACACAAACAAGTTTACGTGCAGTTTCCACGGCAAAACAGTTACAGTTTCCACAGCAAACCAGGTGCAGTTGCAAACAAGCTCATACTTCATACTGATAACAATTAATAATCATCTACTCCAATCATAAATCTGCTTAAGTTGTCTTATCCCTAGAAACTGTTTAACAGACCTTAACCACATCCTAGGTAACAAATCGTTACATACATGCCTGACTAGATCCTTTGATTATGGTTTCCACTTCACACACAAACAAGGTTGCTACTTTGGAGTGTTGCTTTCTAGGCCTACTCTTCTACTAAGCCTTAGCCATTCTACTACTAATTTAAATTGCTTTGCAACACAGTGTCCCCCCTTTTGAGCATTCTTCAGGCTTTGCTTGCAAGGATGCTCAAATACAGCAATCTTCAGGCTGTAGTTTCTTGGTAGGTAGGAGGTGATTCATTTTGCGGTGAGATTACTTCTTTTCTTGTTATAGCTTTCATGATGCGTTTCGTATGTTGACCTTCTTTTACAATCATTCCTAAAAGACACTTGTAAACAGTTATGGCTATGACAATAATTATTACAATTAATATTCCGTACTGGATAACAGAAGATATCCATCCTGACACATGAAGACCTAGGGAGCTGAATAATTGTCCTATCCAATTATGTTCTGCTTCTTTTTGCAGTTCATGAACATTCTCGTCAATTTGTTCTAATTGGCTAATATCTTTTTCTACTTCTTGAGTGACATTTGGGATGTGTACACAACAATGCTCGTCCTTTGCATGCAGGTAGCCGCAAACTCCATGTTCCTTAAGTAATATTAGGTCTAATGCCATGCGGTTTTGTATGGTCATTCTAGAGGTGGCTTGTAATTGTAAATTTAGATCTTTAAATCCCTTCTTAGTGACTGCTGCTAACCTTTCAGTTTGTCCCATTAATTTAAACAACATTTCTCTGTTCCGGTATGTTGAGATTGGTGCAAATAGAGACTCTAATGCTCATCCAAATTTAACTCCTGCTGATGGTTCATGCCAATCTCCCAACCCCAGGTCATCAATATCTTTACCAACTTCTCTTTTCCTTCGTGGTTGTATTTCTACTGATGTTAACTTATCTTGCTTCCAGAATGGACAGAGAGTAGGTATCCCTAGTGTGACAGGTACAACTGGACCATCTATTGGCATGTGGGTGGTCCACTGACCATGTCCCACGACCCACACTAAATTTCCTGGGCTCTTAACTGTGGTGGTACGGCAATCAATGTTTTTGCTTGTTACCCATGTTCCAACTACTACCCATAGGAAAAATCCAGGCACTTGTTCACATTGTTTCTTAGTCATCTCGTTCTTGAGTAGACATGCATCTATCATTTCATTCCATGTTTTGGTTACAAATCTGCAATTCTACGTAGTATTCTTAAACACTTTAGGAATTTCTGGTACTGGAATTATTCCCCATGGGATTGGGTCTCCTGCAGCATGAGGCATAGGGAGACATGCAGTAATTTTTGTGACATTCTGTACTCTCCCAAAATCACGAATTAGGCCTACAACTAGGTTTTCTTGTTCTACTTCTCTATCTAGAATCTGCAGGTTACTTACTTGTCGGGTTATTCTTTCAATCCTTACGTGGACGACAGTAATTCCAGTATCTCACCAGTCATCTTTACTTATCTAGCAAGTATATTGGCCTTCATCTTCTCCTCTTTGTATTTCTTTGATTTTCAAAACTATTGCGTCTGCTCTCTTTCCAATCTGATGTCTCTTCCCAACTTTCAAGTTCTGTCCCTTAAACCACCACCCATATTCAGAATACTGTCCTTCTGGAATTTTGCAACTTAGAATCAGATCTCTTCCTTCCTGGGTCGAATAAACACTATGTTCTGGTCTAACTCTTATTCCTTGATGTGATACGGCTACTGCTGTCCTTATCCCGTGATCTTTTTCTTCTCCACATGAGACTACACAAAGAAATGTACCTTCTGTCTTTCCTACTCTGGGATTAGAAATATTCAGCCACCCTTTACCTCCTTTACTATTTGACCACCAGCTAACTCCTTGACTTTGTGATTCCCAAGATTGATTTGCCACATTTAATTTCTACCACTTTACTTTAACTGATTTTCGACAATCATCAAATTGGAAGGTACAATTGATTTTTAAAGGAGGACCATCCCACATGTCTGATTGTTTCCTAGTGGGTAAAACTCGCACTTTGGTCACTGTCTTCTGAGTCGTGTTTATTGTCTGTATTTCTATATGTCCATAATCAAAACTTTCCCAAATCCAAACTACACACATATATGTCTCTTCCATAGCTTTGTACACTTTGGGTACCTGCAGAACGGTGTAACCTTTTTGTTGTGTAGCATCCCAAACTGTTGTCACTCCTTCTGTCATGATTTGGTCTTGATCTCTCCATCTCCACTTGACATGGACATCTCTTAATTCAGCTCCCTGGTCATCTGAAAATAGACAAGTTAAGTTTACATCAGTGTGTTCTGGTACAAATAAATAAGGATCTGGGGTCTCAATTCTCACGGTGGTTTCTGCTAAACTTATCAACCCCAGGAACACTATGATCCTCAATGGTTGGCTCGAAATACCATTCTTGTGGGTGAGAGAGGTTCTACCGACCACGAAACTGGAACTTTCTTGACCCGAGTATAATGGATCCAGCTGTCGATTCCTTCGACTTTTACTGCGGTGTAGGTCGTCATTATCACCTGGTGAGGACCGTCCCATGTTTCTTTCAGCGGCTCCACCGACCAGTTTCTCACGTAGACATGATCTCCCGGAGAAATGTCGTGCACTGGATTCTCCAGGGGCAGAGGTCGATTCCACTGCAATGCTCCTCTGAGGGCTGTGAGAGTCTTATTTAAAGATAACACATAATTAAACACTGCTTGATCACCTACTATATGAGGATCCCCTTGGTAAGTAGCTGCATGATAAGGTTTGCCATATAATATTTCATATGGACTTACTCTTATTCTCTCCCTTGGTTTGATCCTAATTCTCAACAAGGCAATGGATACTGCTTGGGGCCACGGAATCTTTGCCTCCTGACAAATTTTCTTCAATTGACCTTTCAATGTCTGATTCATCCTTTCAACTTGTCCACTAGACTGTGGTCTCCATGGTGTATGGAGATTCCATGTTATCCCTAATACAACTGACCCATCTTGTACTATTCCTGCTATAAAGTGCGGTCCTCGATCAGAGGACAACCCTAGGGGAACTCCAAATCTTGGGATGATTTCCCTCAAGAGAGTTTTTACCACTTCCTTTGCCTGATTAGTCCTACAGGGAAAAGCCTCAGGCCATCCTGAAAAGGTGCAGACATATACTAACAAATACTTATAGGATTGGGCTTTAGGCAACTCAGAAAAATCTACTTGCCAGTAATCTCCCGGTAACTGACCTATCTGTAATTTTCCCATCTGCACCTGCTTCCTGACTACTGGGTTATTCTTTATGCACATAGGACACATTGCATTTACCCTTTTTGCCAATGTTAACATCTGGTTTGAGAGAACCTCATTTTTCAAAAATTTTACCAATGCTTCTGCACCCCAGTGGCACTTATTGTGTTCTGTTTCAAGCACTGCTTTCATTATTCTGACAGGTAGAATCACTTGTCCTATGGGGGAAATGTACCACCCTTTAACATTTTTTCTTTGCATTTGTCATTTGAGCTAATTTCTCATCTTCCTGTGAATAATGTGGTTTTTCTTCCATATATGGTATTGCTGGATTATTTCGAACAGGCAAAAGAACCATCTGAGTCCATACTTCTCTTGCGGCCTGCTTAGCCGCTTGATCAGCCTGTCGATTACCTCGAAATTCTCGTCCGGGATCTCTCTGATGTCCTTTTACATGCATTATTGCCACTGCTGAGGGCTTGTGTATTGCCTCTAGCAATTGTAAAATTTCTTCCCGATGTTTAATCGTTGTCCCTTGAGAAGTAAGAAGTCCTCTCTCTTTCCAGAGTGCTCCGTGAACATGAACTACCCCAAAAGCATATTTGGAGTCAGTCCATATATTAACTCTCTTTCCTTGGCTTAATATCAAAGCTCTCACCAATGCCCATATTTCGGCCTTTTGTGCAGACGTACCTGGGGGTAGTGCATTTGCTTCTATCACTTCTTGTTCAGTGACCACTGCATACCCAGCATACCTGGTGCTGTTCTCCACAAAGCTAGATCCGTCAGTGAACAATTCCCAGTCAGGATCTGTCAATGGCTCGTCCTTCAAGTCTCTTCTGCTCGCGTAGACTTGTTCAAAGGTCTCTACACAGTCATGCTCCAGAATACCTTCTTCCTGTGTAGACCTAAGGAATTCTGCTGGGTTGAGATGGTTAGTGATTTTCAGTTCAACATCATCTTGTTCTCTCAACAAAGCTTGATACTGTAACATACGGCTAGATGAGAGCCAATGCCCCCCTTTTTGTTCCAAGACTGCTATGACCATGTGGGGTACGTACACTACCATGTGTTTTCCCAGAGTCAATTTTCGTGCTTCTTGTATTAAAATAACCGTTGCTGCCACAGCTCTGAGACACCCTGGCCATCCCCCACTTACTGCGTCTAGCCGTTTGGAGAAATATCCAACCGGTCTTTTCCAGGATCCTAGACGCTGAGTGAGGACTCCTAAAGCCATTCGTTGTCTCTCGCAGACATAGAGCTGAAACTCCTTGGTTGGGTCCGGCAGTCCCAGGGCAGGTGCTTCCTGGAGGGCTCTTTTCAATTCCTGGAACGCTTTCTCTTGCTTCGTCCCCCAGGTCAGCTTGGGCTCCTTTACTGCTTCATATAAGGGTCTGGCAATTAGTCCAAAGTTGGGAATCCACAGTCTGCACCATCCGACCATT